CCATATAGAGCTTTCTTCAACCTCAAAACTTGCCTTCGTGACCTTTTACGATAAACCCCATAGGTTGCTCAACATAAATCTCCTTATCAAGGATGCCACTTAAAAATGATGATTTGACATCCATTTGATAAATTTGCCAACCATTTTGAGCTACAACATAAATGATTAATCTAATCATTTCTATGTAGATGACAGGGGCAAAAACTTCATCATAGTCGATCCTAACCTCGTGCTTGTACATCTTGCGACTAATCTAGCCTTATGCCTTGTCACTTCCCATTTCTTGTTCTTTTGGCCTTGTACAACCATTTGACACTAATCGCTTTCTTATCAACAAGCTCCCATGTTTTATTCTTCTTAAAAGCTTCAATTTCTTCATTCATAGCTTTCCTCCATTTTTCTTCTTGGATAGCATCATCGTAGACAAGTGGTTCACAATCTGCAAGAAGGCATATTAGGTGAAGCTCATTGGTGCCTTCATAAAGCTCAGGCAATCTCCTCAATCTTGGTACTAATGGTTCATCAACACCATTTGAAGAAGTTGGCAATGATGGACTTGAAAAAGATATTGGAGAAGAAGGTGAAGAGTAATCCTTCAACTCCATTTGGCTAGAATCACCATGAACATTTGTTTTATCTTTTGGATTGTCTTCCCACATGCCTTCTTCATCAAACTTGATATCTCTGCTTATACACACTTTCAAAGTATTATGATCAAATAGTCTATAGGCTTTGGATAAGGAATCATACCCAATAAAAAAAACATTTTTGCTCTGATCTTCCAACTTTGATCTTTTAAGTTTCGGAACATGAGCGTAGGCAATGCTTCTGAAAATTCTCAAAAATTTCGAAACATTAGATGTTATCCCGCTCCATGCTTCTTGTGGAGTTACGCCCTTCAAGTCCATATGTGAGACATTTATTTTGTAGATAGACTGCACACATGACAGCTTCACCCCAAAGCTCTTTGAGCAAATTATTGCTTTTCAACATGCTTCCAACTATGTCAAGAATGGTTCTGTTTTTAATGGAAGAAGGATGCAGAAGTGGCAGGGCTCTTTCTTGGAGCTTCTATGATTTTTCCAAAAACCATCCTCGTAACACTTCATGCTCAAATACTGAAAAGGAATGATGGGCCGAGGCGTCTTAGAAATCCCCGGTCCTTCACTAGATACAAATAAATGTACCAAAAGATTTCCTTTGGGAACTATCTTCAATTAGTACGACTGGCTATTCATTTATTCTTACATACCACAATCTGTTCTTCACTCACAACTATGTACAACAAGATCACATGGAAAGTTCTATGTCGCAGAGCGAAAGAGTACCAAAATTGAATCTCAGAAATGCTCGCAAAGAAAGCATAGGAGGGTGAATAATTAGGCAATCAACGCCTGCCTCTTTAATTCTTCACCTACAACGACGGTTCCATTGCAGTGACAAATGCTGTCCCCTTGCCCACGCCAAAGCGCAGGCCTAGCATCTTCACAGAATTTCACATACTCCAACGTATCGCCAGCCAGAATCTGACTGGTCCCTGCAGCCTAATCTCAAATTTCTTATAAGCTCACGACCTTGAAGCTTAACCCCTTCGCAGGCTCCTCAATCTTCGTCGCGAACGCGGTCGCCAAGCACTTGGAGGTGAACAAGGACCTGGCCTTCTGCTTCGTCTCAAAGAGGCTTGACAGGTCAAAGCCCGACGACATCAGCAAGATGAATTCGAATGCATTGAAGAATTTCGGCGACCGGGCCTTATCAGAATTAATCAACTCTGAATTCAGATACACGTGAACATTTGTCTATAGAAATTGCAGATTATTTAGGGACCCCCTACTTAACGTGTTATGTGCATCAGATTTGCATATTTTCATTGGTAGGTTAGGTAAAGCTACCCCTTCCCCATGCTTCGCGTGCTTTTATCTCTATATAACAGGAAACCTGAAGGTTCCGAGTACTCTCATAGTCTACAAACAAAGTACTTGTTCCCCTCTAAACTTTGCTTGTTCGCTCAAGTAACGTACAGTTAGAGACTGCGATGGCATCTTTGGGGACCAATGGTGGGGACGAGTCGATGGTGAAAGCTCCGGCGGCAATCCTAGCCATCGGCACGGCTAATCCACCAAACTGCATCCGCCAGGACGATTATCCTGATTTTCTCTTTCAGCTCACAAACTCCGACCACCTCACTCATGTCAAAAAGAAGTTTGCACGCATTTGTAATAGCATTTTTCATGTTGTTAAACAACTCTAAATTTTTTTTTTTGGTAAGGAACAACTCTAAATTCTTTCATTGTTTATTTTTTTATTTTTGGGGTTTGTGCTAATAATCGGTAGACAAATCTTTTATTTCATGACTATGATTTCAATGAAAAGTTTTATGACCTATTTACATGAATATTTTTCATGCTCCGACGGTTAGTGATACCAATAGAATTGTTCCTGCTTTTGTAAAGAACCCTTATAGTGGTAGGGATACTCGGATCAAGTTTTTTACGAAAATTTGGAAAATCTCATATGCCAATAGGTGATCAAGGTCTTTGAAAAAAATCGCATGGGTTTATTTGTTTTGTTCTTTATTATGCACTACGTACACTTGGTTTTTTTTTTTTGTTTTGTCCTACCTCTAACTCTCCTCAAGCCAATCGGTGATCAAGTCTTCGAGAAAAATCGCAGGAGATTACACTTAGTTTTCTTTTTATCTGTTCTATCTCTAACTCTCCTCTTTCTCTGATTTTTGCTTTGCCTCTTATAGAGCACGGGAGTCAAACCCCGCACTTGTGATACTAGCATTCTTACCCCCCCCCCAATCCCTTTACCAGCAGGGTCGCATGCCTATTGGCATATGTAAACTTAGTTAGCCTACATAGTATCTTCCTTTCAATTTGATGTATATGTACCACATTTCAGTTTAGATCACTACTAACCCTCTTACCTATGGTTCGCATGGGCTTTGCCTAAAAAATATCAAGGTCATTAAGAGCAATGACCATTCCCTCTTTTTCTTTTTTAATCACAAGCACGCGTACCTTCGTATGTAAACTCTAGGCCCATAAAACGCACCGATCACTTCACAGATTATAGAAAACGCAAGCCAAAATCCTGCTGGGTGGCTCAAATATGGATGCTTGCGCACTCGAAGTATATTTTATCGGAGCCAGAAGACTCGAGCATTATTCCTCATATACCCTTTGCATCGATTTATGCTCTATTCTAATATGAACAACATGAATTTGCACAACTTCTTGAATAATGGGTCCAGATGCACTAAAGCTTTTCGGCCCTTAAACTCATCACATAATGAGAGGGTTAAGGTAAAAACAAAAAAGAGGTGTGCTACAAATACCATATAATTTTCACATCGTTTCAACCATCCTCTATCTCATACATCGTCTCCAGACATTGTCCCACCACTTTTAATGATGAGCCTCACAGTTTCTATCCCATTTGAGACTCGCTATACCCTATGAAATCTCAAATTTTAAAAGTCAACTCTTCTTTCTCTCCTTACCTCTTGTCATTGTGTTCATTATGGAGTCGTTGCCTTCTACTGTCGTCACTGCCTCCAGACCGAGACTAGATGTAGACGAGGTACCTCCACATCAAAAAATGACTCCTCTAGATCCTCTTGCCGCTAGAGGAACTCCGTCGTCAACGCCATCGATGGTGTTGGCAGAGGAGAGTTCGCAGCCAATGGGGGTGGCCGATAGCATATTCAAGTGTGGGTGGTGCAAAGAGAAGAAAGAGAGAGAAAATGAGTATTTATGATTATTTCCTTATGATTAAAGACCAAATAAAACATCCACGTTGCCCGTTTAAAGAATTGAGTCTCTAATAATTTTTTTTATTTTAATTCATCGTGCCTGTTGGACAAATCGTTTTTCTTAAAATTTTAAACTGTTAGAAAACGTGTCGGCATAGTATTCCCGTCATGTTTCTTGATAGTCTCATTCGCGGGTCGGTCGCTCTTTTGCAGCGGCAGACTGGATGTAAATGTCATGAAGTCAACGAGATAACTAACAGATAGGAAGTTAGGTGGGAGAAATTTGAAAGGGATTGGAGTGCCAGAATTCGAACCCTTCAATATGTGTCTTGGTTCATCGTTTTATCATATGCTTCAAGAATGCCGATTATTTAATACTGATGATTGCGTGGAAATTGATTTAATTTTCTGATGATGTTTACTTGCAGGTGAGAAATCTGCGATAAAGAAGCGATATTTTCACTTGAACGAAGAAATTCTCAAGCAAAACCCAGCTTTATGCTCTTACAGCGCCTCATCACTAAACTTACGTCAAGATATGACGATCGACATGCTCCCGAAGCTCGGCATGGAAGCCGCCGTGAAGGCCATCGAAGAATGGGGCCAACCCAAGTCTACGATCACCCACATTGTCTTCTGCTCCTTCTCCGGTGCGGACATGCCTGGCGCGGACCTAAAGCTCCTCAACATGCTCGGCCTCCGACCTTCGGTCAGCCGGGTCATGCTCTATAGCCTCGGCTGCTATGCCGGAGGAACCGTCCTCCGAATCGCCAAGGACATTGCTGAGAACAACCCTGGGGCTCGGGTGCTCGTCGTTTGCGCAGAGACGACCATCCCCACGTTTCGAGCTCCCTCCGAGGACGATCCGGTGTACTTAGTGAGCAATGCAATCTTTGCTGATGGCGCGGCAGCTATGATCATCGGCGCTGCTTGGCCACGCGTGACCACAGAACGGCCAATCTTCCAAATCATCTCCGCCTCGCAGTCGGTGGTGCCGGACTCCGACGGGATGATCCAAGGCCATTACCGCGAGGTCGGTGTCACCATGCAGATATCGGAGAAGGTGCCGGAACTGATTTCCGCGGATCTGGAGGGCAATTTGGTCGAAGCTTTCGGCTCGATTAAGGTCACGGATTGGAACTCCATTTTCTGGGCCCCACATCCCGGAGGGAGGAGGATTCTTGACTCCATAGAAGCAACATTTGGATTGAGGAAAGAGAGACTAAGAGCTACGAGGCAGGTGTTGAAAGAGTTCGGGAACATGTTCGGCGTGTGTGTTATCTTCATTCTGGACGAGATCAGGAAAAGGTCGATCAAGGAAGGGAAGGCCACGACGGGGGAGGGGATGGAGTTGGGGGTGCTATTAGGGTTCGGGCCCGGTCTCACCATCGAGACCGTCGTTTTACGGAGTGTGCCCATCGTTGACGGGTGAAACCGACACCAGCAAACGCCGGCGAGAGCAATTGTGTGTTCTTAATCTCGACTTAAAATGCCACTGTAATAATAATGACAATAATAGTGTGATGGATTCTGTTGATGTTTGCTTAAATTTGAATCATTTGCTCCTAGTAAAATCATTCTATGAACTATCGCTATAAACCAACTTTCTGTCCGTGCTAGCATTCCTCTAAAAAGATAATACTCGAATGAGTACATTTCTCATTCGAAGGCATAGCAGCGTCTCTCTCTTCGTGTATGCGCGCGTTATTGATATGATGTTTGATCCTGTAATATCAGCACCAAGTATTGACCAAACTAAGAATAAAAATAAACTTATTCTATCAAAGAATGCATTAGCTTTTTGAAATAGTTAAATGCATCAATTGAATGTCGGAGTGTCTGTTATCCAGTCATAAGGTAATTGTAGTAATTTAGGGTTTAAAGAATCTATTTTAGGGCTCAACTTTGGACAGGCTGTTGAAACTACTTAGTTTGGAAATACTATAGTGGCAGAGAGCCCTACTAATAGGTTGAGGAATTCATATAGGGTTTTAAATATAGCTCAATTGCCTCTGTGACTAATTCTAGAGGACGACTTGACAATCTCACTCAAATAGGAAGACCCGAATCTTTAATTTCACTTGCTTGAGATTTATCAATTCATAATTTCATTTATACATAATAGCCTAGGTCTATATACTAGAGGCCACTACTAACATTTCTATTGGAAGAATATTTTCGTGATAGAATTAGAGCCAAATGGAACTCGATGAAAATCATATCATGACTGAAGAATTGAAGCTTCTGGAATCTGGAGATCCCCTGTTTTGCTTCCAAATGTTGGAAGGAGATAGTTAAGTTTAAGGGTCGCTAAAAGGCCTTGCATCATTGTTATCAGAACTAGTCGATTCTTGATTCCTATCTTACGATTGGATATGAAGGGCAAGTTTGTTTCAGGTAAAACTCCAGATTTGGAAAACATTTTCCGAAAAATGATTGGTTATATCGCTTAGAAAATTAATCAACAGAAAATATTTTTACTATCGACAAAAATTTATGCCTAACTATTTTCATGGGTGATGAAGATATTTTGCATTATTTTATTTTTGCAAGCGATACAAATGATTATTTTCCGAAAATATTTTCTAAATATTCAGTCTTCCGTAAAACAAACGCATCGGAAGTCTAAACTCACACCATTTGTCTTGTCTTCTCCCTCCCAATTGATTTTGGCACAGAGGATCGAGGTGATAGGATGCATTATTCTTTTGTTACTTGGAGAAGAAATGTATGAAGGATAGCATAATAATTTATTACAATTAACTAATTATTACATCTCTATTCCCTCGCAATCGTAATGTGACATCCTCAAATTTCAACCCTATTTAGGATGTAATAAATGGTTATTTCGTCAATGCGCAATGAATAAAATTAGGCTCTGAATTGATTCTTGAATTATTCAAGGGTATTCTAAGCTTTGAGAAAGGCGAATTAAGACTTCGTTACGCGTGACCAAATCACTCAATCATGGATTGATAATTCGACTATAAGGATCGTTGAAGGACAATCATAAGCCATTTCAAGCCGATCCAGGAATGGTTATAGATCGATTCGACAATAGTATAGAATCGGATTGCGGGTGATTCCACACAATTACTGTATTGATTCCAAATGACACTAGACCAATCCCTAATGATCGTATGTTTCGAAACGGGCTATTGACCCCTCATGATTACATGACAACCAAGGTTCATCCGTGGATTGAAAATGCTTAAACGTGGATTGATTTGAAATCAACTACGAGTTAAATGTACGCAGCCCCTAAAAGCCGCCCATTGTTCTAATTACGCGAAAGATGCATTTGAGCGATTTTAACCATGAATTCTAATCCAGTTGAGGGTATTGGACTCTAGAGGATCAAGAGACAATTATTGGAAAAATTCTGGGAATCACCTATTTATCAGTAAACCGAGAAACCTTGGAACAGTGAAATTTAGGCCGGAAATTGGGGCCCACGAATTTCTAAAAGCCCAATGGGCCTCATGGACTATATAGTTAGCCACAAGGGCCCAATGGAAGGGAAATTATGATTTTGCCTTTTTGGACCCAAATTAAGAAGTTTTGAGAATTTATGCAAGAAAAGCCCGAGACGAGAAGCCCACAAGGAACTAAGCCCAATGATAGGGCCCAAGAAGGATTTCAGCCCAAGAAGAATGGGCTTAGCCTAAGTTTAAGCCCATTAAGCCTTTCAAGCCCATTTCAAGCCCATTAACATTTTCAAGCCTAGTTCTCTTCAAATTGGGCCCGTTCAGGCCCAAGCCCAAGCCCGTGTAAATAGTGCACGTGAATGTTCCATGAATAGTGTCAAGGGCTGAAATTACCAAAATACCCTTATCATCTTCTCTTAATTACAAAATTGCCCCTTCTAGTAGCTTTTGTAAGATTGAATCCTAGCCATTGATCTTGGCTTGGTGAGCAAAAGTTAATCTTGGTCATCCATTCTTGGTTTTTGTTGCAAGACACTTTCTTTCTCCTCCTCATTTCTCTCATTTTCTCTCTTTCTCTTCTTTCTCTCTCTCTCACGTTTTTCTCTCCCTCTCTTCTTCCTCTCACCGAACCACCACCACCATCACCATCCACCACCGGCCACCCTCACGCCACCACCACTGCGAGTCATTCACCGCCATGAGCCACCCAAGTCGTGCCTAGCCGTTCGCCGCCGTCCGCCTCACGCGGGATCGCCGTGAGCCATGCCTCACCCCTCGTCGAGCAAGACACATTTCCGTGTCGCCACCCCGTGCCGTTCTGGATAGAGCCACACGTAGCCCTCGTCGCCGTCGTCGCACCCATGTCGTTGGAATCGTTTCCAGGTGAGTTAATGCTCTAATCCTTTGATTAGTACGTTAAACTTGCTTAGGGTTAGATTAGACTAAGTTTTTTTTTAATCTTGCTTAGTGCTAATTAATAAGGGATTAGTTGATAAGCTATCGCGATAAGTGATAGGTGGAAGTGATAAGCTATTGCGATAGGTGGAAGTGATAAGCTATTGCGATAGGTGATAAGTGGACTTACTAGGTTATCGAGAAAATGTGATAAGCTATCGTCAAATGGATGATAAGTTATCGGGAAAAGGATTGATAAGGTATCACCAAATGGGTGATATGCTATCGGGCATTTGGTGATAAGTTATCACCAAAGGGGTGATAAACTATGGGAGAAATGTTGATAAGCTATCACCAAAGGTGTGATAGGCTATCGGGAATTTGGTGATAAGCTATCGCCAAATAAGTGATAGGCTATCAAGGAATGGATGATAAGTTATCGCGAGGGGAGCGATAAGTTATCGGTTTTTATTTAATGAGTTATCACAATTAGGCGACAAGTGATAGTGAATTGTGGTGATTCTATGCATGCTTTATGTGCTTTCAAGCTTGTGATGCCTTGAAAAATACTTGCCCATTTTATAAACCTCGTTTACTAATTTTTACAAGGCTTTTTAAGGACATATAAGTGGAAAATCCTGAGGTGTCGGGTTTATATGTCCGGTTTTATGAGTTAAATGGGGCAATGATGTTTAAAAAGGAAATCATGCAAAGTTTGATGGGTTGATTGTATATATGTGATCACGTGTGAATTTATTATAGCATTTTTATGTGTGGAAGTTACAATAATTTGTTGTGTGAGCATGAACCACGTTTGCATTTTGCTAACTGTTGAGATATAAATGAGTTGTGTGTTTATTGTGCTCGTGTGATCACATAAAGGAACCTGTCACCCAGCGGGGGTCTGGGGATGCAATGTGTGACATTGTGCATAAAAGAATAATACATCATATACCCTGTTGTATTGTCTAAATTCAAAGATAAATAATTAGCTTGAGTGGTTAGTGTGCTTACATGGTCACATGAAAGCTCGTCTAGCTGGGGGTTAAGATGCCGTCTAGGCAGAGGTTCTAGATGATATAGTGTCGTGGTTGAGACAGAACCGATGCTCCTAATGGAATGCCATCTGGGCGAGGGTTCCAGACATTGTCGTGCACAATGGAGCAGGACGATGCCCGATTATGCCGGAGCACACCGGCGAAGGTTCGATTTTGGCCCTGTGTGACATCCTGAAAAAAGAGAGAGAGGGGGAATCAGAATATTCAAGGGAATATTCTGTCCGAAATTGCCTTTAAATCCAAGGGTCTCTCTCTTCTTCTTCTTTTTCCTTCCTCACCAAACTCTCTCTCTCTCGCTCGTCTCTCCGTTGGAATGCCGCCGCTCAAGTCAACGGTCGACCATCCACTACCCGGCACCGTCCGACTAGCAGCTGATCATCTTGCCATCCCGTTCCACCCACGCCACCAGCAGCAGCCGCGCAAGCTCGGGAAACCGCCGCCGCTGTGCTTTTCCTCTCCGCCTAGACCGCATGTCGTGACAGCCGCACTCGCCGGCAAGGCAAGTGTGCCCTCTCACTTCATACTAACCACGACAATGTTTGCACATCGATTTGGGTCTCGGGTAGGTTGCTGAGTTGGCTGGATGGCGGTAGGAGAGATCGATATGTTGAATAGTTGCTGTTCTTGTGTGTTTGAACCTCTAGAATGAGCTTTGGCGAGTCTTGATTGCTAGACTACATTGGAAAAGGTGTTGCATGTTGATTTGAACTCCTGGTGTGGTATTTTCGTGGCTGAGAAGTGGTAAATCTCGAGATTGAAAACGTTTCTTGGAGTTTTATCTCGGTTTCAGAATGGGTTTTACTGTACGTTCCTGGTTTTCTATTTTTATAGTGCCTTTTGTGGTCCGAATCTTGCGAAGTGTTCTGCATCAAAGTTGTTCAGAAGATCTTGATATATAACATGCTTAAAATTTAGATTTTTCTGAGTCCAAATGGGTCACACGAAGGTCCAACATCTTACCGAATCAGAACTGTTTTATACTGCAGAACCCGTGACCTTTGTGCCTTCTCAAATTTTTATAAAAATTTACAGTTCGATTTCGGTTACACTTC